CGATACCCGAACACTGCCTAATGTTTTCTGTTTATCTGGTTGGGTTTAAATGGTTGTCTCAGCCGTAGCTAATTTGTTCTATTAATATTTTTGTAGAATCTTTGTTCCATTAAATTCCAGACTGCCATAGTAATTAGCAAATATTTAAAATCGGGACAGGAACATTAAGATGTTTTATTGGGTTAATTTAAATCGATTTCCGTGGAAATGAGGCATTCAATGACTTCAGTATGATTTACGAATTAATAAACCTTGTGATTTGGGCAAACAGCAAAAGACATGTTCTTGTTCCGGCATATCTTCGTATGTACAATCTGTACTTATATCAGATAACTTGGGCGACATCCCGAATAACGGTGGCTGGTAGACTTACCTTGTACTTACAGCTTGGTACTTACTTCCATGATACAGCGATTACACAATTTATACTTTCAACTACTTTCGCACTTTTCGTGATAAAATTTAGTACCGCGCCAATCGCTCATCCAAAACAGCGTTCTGAATTTGTTCTCAAATCTCACACAAGCTTTATACATACATGTGTGTTATAATAGCTTTATGTATAGAAGCAAGATCATGAACCCATGTTGATTTTTTTTTCTTCCTTTTTTTCTTTTTTAGTTGCTGTGAAGTTCCACGGAGTCCTTTACAGCTCTTCAGTGATAGTATTTCTAAGACTAATTATTGACGTTGTATGCTGGAGGACATCGTCACTCTCACGAACTTATCCACTACAGTCAAAATCTTACTGGTTCATTTTCATATTCGTCGATTTGCGTATAATTAATACCTAACCCTAGGAACAGAATGACTTTAACTACTGATATTGTGACGGGAGCAAAGTACAAATAATGATGTATTACATATTACAGGATTTTATTACTGATCAAAAGTCTGACGTGGGGCATGACAAGCAATTATTAATTCTGTTTGACATGTAGCTTCAGACGAAGTACAATCACATTTGGCCTCCAAAACTATTACAGAATCACAGCCACCACATCCCGCCTTACCGTGAGAAAAAGGGCCCTTGTTCTCTGAAATCGGCCCGAATGCCTTTATTTCGTAAGCCCAAAGACTGCTGGACCTTTAAACTAGGTTCAGAAGCGTGATAATGAAAAGAAAAGCGTTTTCAAAGAAAAGAATTGTTAAAAAGAACAACTTTACGTCTGTGTTTGTTTTCTCTTTTAATGCATATAATGAATAAGAAACTTTGTTTTCAGTAAGACCTTAATGAGAATAACGTATAGAGTCAGATATCATTATCACCATTAAAGCAGTGCCGTTACACAGAACGGAAATACGAATACATTTAATACTATTTTTTAATACTTTATACTTGACGAAAACACTTGTCAATGTATCACTATGTTTTATACAGACTCTGAACGATGTGTCACTGATACATGTTTTATACAGACACTGGACGGTGTATCACTAACACATGTTTTATGCAGACACTGGACGGTGTATCACTAACACATGTTTTATACAGACACTGGACGGTGTATCACTGACACATGTTTTATACAGAAACTAGACAGTGTATCACTAACACAAGTTTTATACAGACACTACACGGTGTATCACTGATACATGTTTTATACAGACACAAGACGGTGTATCACTGACACATGTTTTATACAGACACTAGACAGTGTATCACTAACACATGTTTTATACAGACACTAGACGGTGTATCACTGACACATGTTTTATACAGAAACTAGACAGTGTATCACTAACACAAGTTTTATACAGACACTACACGGTGTATCACTGATACATGTTCAATACAGACACTAGATGGTGTATCACTGACACATGTTTTATACAGACACTAGAGAGTGTATCACTAACATAAGTTTTATACAGACACTACACGGTGTATCACTGATACATGTTTTATACAGACACTAGACAGTGTATCACTGACACATGTTTTATACAGACACTAGACAGTGTATCAATGACACATGTTTTATACAGACACTAGACAGTGTATCACTGACACATGTTTTATACAGACACTAGACAGTGTATCACTAACACATGTTTTATACAGACACTAGACGGTGTATCACTGATACATGTTTTATACAGACACTAGACGGTGTATCACTGACACATGTTTTATACAGACACTAGAGAGTGTATCACTAACATAAGTTTTATACAGACACTACACGGTGTATCACTGATACATGTTTTATACAGACACTAGACAGTGTATCACTGACACATGTTTTATACAGACACTAGACAGTGTATCAATGACACATGTTTTATACAGACACTAGACAGTGTATCAATGACACATGTTTAATACAGACACTAGACGGTGTATCAACGACACATGTTTTATACAGACACTAGACGGTGTATCACTGATACATGTTTTATGCAGACACTAGACGGTATATCAATGATACATGTTTTATACAGACACTAGACAGTGTATTACTGATACATGTTTTATACAGACACTACACGATGTATTACTGATACATGTTTAATACAGACACTAGAGAGTGTATCACTGACACAAGTTTTATACAGACACTACACGGTGTATCACTGATACATGTTTAATACAGACACTAGATGGTGTATCACTGACACATGTTTTATACAGACACTAGAGAGTGTATCACTGACACAAGTTTTATACAGACACTACACGGTGTATCACTGATACATGTTTTATACAGACACTAGACGGTGTATCACTGACACATGTTTTATACAGACACTAGACAGTGTATCAATGACACATGTTTTATACAGACACACAGTGTATCACTGACACATGTTTTATACAGACACTAGACAGTGTATCACTAACACATGTTTTATACAGACACTAGACGGTGTATCACTGATACATGTTTTATACAGACACTAGACGGTGTATCACTGACACATGTTTTATACAGACACTAGAGAGTGTATCACTAACATAAGTTTTATACAGACACTACACGGTGTATCACTGATACATGTTTTATACAGACACTAGACAGTGTATCACTGACACATGTTTTATACAGACACTAGACAGTGTATCAATGACACATGTTTTATACAGACACTAGACAGTGTATCAATGACACATGTTTAATACAGACACTAGACGGTGTATCAATGATACATGTTTTATACAGACACTAGACGGTATATCAATGATACATGTTTTATACAGACACTAGACAGTGTATTACTGATACATGTTTTATACAGACACTACACGATGTATTACTGATACATGTTTAATACAGACACTAGAGAGTGTATCACTGACACAAGTTTTATACAGACACTACACGGTGTATCACTGATACATGTTTAATACAGACACTAGATGGTGTATCACTGATACATGTTTAATACAGACACTAGATGGTGTATCACTGATACATGTTTAATACAGACACTAGAGAGTGTATCACTGACACAAGTTTTATACAGACACTACACGGTGTATCACTGATACATGTTTTATACAGACACTAGATGTATCGTTGGTACATATCGTGCTCTTTAACACTTATCCAGATTTTAAGATGTAAATGTTGAATTAACCTATTCATACAAAATAGAAATCACCCATCGTTTCCGTAAAGTTAACCCAACCACTGACTGACATTTTAATACTAAGTAAAGTTAACCCAACCACTGACTGACATTTTAATACTAAGCAAAGTTAACCCAACCACTGACTGACATTTTAATACTAAGTAAAGTTAACCCAACCACTGACTGACATTTTAATACTAAGTAAAGTTAACCCAACCACTGACTGACATTTTAATACTAAGTAAAGTTAACCCAACCACTGACTGACATTTTAATACTAAGTAAAGTTAACCCAACCACTGACTGACATTTTAATACTAAGTAAAGTTAACCCAACCACTGACTGACATTTTAATACTAAGTAAAGTTAACTCAACCACTGACTGACATTTTAATACTAAGTAAAGTTAACCCAACCACTGACTGACATTTTAATACTAAGTAAAGTTAACCCAACCACTGTCTGACATTTTAATACTAAGTAAAGTTAACTCAACCACTGACTGACATTTTAATACTAAGTAAAGTTAACTCAACCACTGACTGACATTTTAATACTAAGTAAAGTTAACCCAACCACTGACTGACATTTTAATACTAAGTAAAGTTAACCCAACCACTGACTGACATTTTAATACTAAGTAAAGTTAACCCAACCACTGACTGACATTTTAATACTAAGTAAAACCGTTTAACGAATTACTATATAAGTCGACTGATGCAGCCATGTAGTGTCCTGTAGAAGTATAATTCTTGTTTCTTTAAAACGACTGGGAAATGGTGAAACTGGGCGATTTATTTTGAGGATTTATATTTCAAGTTAAACAGAAAAGTCAGATCATGTAAACCAATGTAGAGTTTTCGCGTTTCATTAACTTGAACGATAAAATTGTATATATAAAATGGTACTTAAAATTTCTTATATGAAATATGTTTTTTGTACAGTGATATATATATTTGTGATAATCAAGCACCGTTCATTAGCCGAGACAATAGAATACAATAGAAATCGCACCTTTGCTTTAATTATCAGCTACTCAGTTACTGGACATTTGCTCTCCTTCAGTATGATGTCATGTATCAACTTTCAATCTATTATAAGATGTTGAAGGAGACAACAATACATTTCTGGACATGCTCTCAACATCAGTAATTTCCTCTCGGGTAACCCACGTGCAGTAGGAACATTTAATCCGATGTCAGTCTCTGACACCTCACAACACACACCGAAGTATATATATATAAACATATCTATAACACGTGTATCGCCGATCGTAGTAATAAGCCATGTTCCTCTATCTAGCTGTTGATTGGCTGCCCAGATATACACATTACGACTTGGCCAGCCCCTCGACCAACCGCTGCATGTCAGCCTCTGTACCAGCCTTGTCTCACGCGAGTATACTCACCGGACTGGTAACGGTGAACCCTGCCTCCGGATACTCTCGTTAATGAATTCATCATTTTTCACATCGGAGGGGGTAAAGTTGTTCATGACCCGTGTAACGCGGAAACTCCACATCGAAATCCTCTGGATCTTAACTTCTGTTTAATACCTCCTGTTGTAGCGAAGGACACTCTACCATCTAGTTCCAATTTCATATTTTTCAACCGACTTTTTTTTAATGGATTTGCATCTTCCTGATTGTCAGAGTTGTTTTGTGTTTACTTCGGGAAACTTTTAATGTCAGACACTTCTATCTTGTCTAGTTTCGGTTTCATTTCAACATCATGTTTTCTGTTTGACATTGAACATAAAGTTATGGAATAGTGTTTGGTTGCGAATCAAACATCTGACTGGATTAAATATTCCTCGGATTGATAAAAAACGAAAGTGCTTTCTGGATGTGTTTTGATGTGAAATTCTAAGAAACATAATGGATATACACAGTTATCTTTAAGGATGGAAATTAATATCTAAGCCCATGAGAAAAATAATATATTATTGACCAACAACAAGTGTTTGTGTACGATATTTCAGGAATTCACATCTCCTCATGGCCAAGCTGTTTGTTACAAGTAAGTAAAACAATTATTATCTAGAAGTATTTTTTCATATTCTTAACTCCTACCGAAATGTAATCCATTTTTCTTTTTTTTCTTTTTTTCTGCTTTTTTTTTTTCAATGTACTTACAATTAGATACGATAACAGGTAAGCCTTAATACGTTCTCTCCTGTATTTCATTATATTAACATATGTATTAATTTCTGTTAATGTTATGTAATACCACCATAAAAGGTTTAAATAAAATTACACAATAGAACAAAGAGAAAAAACAAGCAACGAAGATCCTGGTAAAAAAAGGATGAAAACAGAAGAAAAAGATATAAAAGACACAGTCGATTTCATTGGCTTATTTATATAGCGCTCTATGATAAAATGTCTATAAAAAAAACTATTGTTCTTTAAAGGGTTATTATGTTATTTTAAGCACGTCTTTATTTCTGTTTTCTTCATTCATATATATTGGTTATTTCGGCATGTATTTGATGATTCACTCATTGTGTAAATCACCAAGCTGTCTATGATAATGTAGCTGGCAGGCTGATGTGCCCTTCCTACCCAACACAGATTTACTCATTCATATTTAATATCGTCAGTATTTTCCTTCCTTCTTATGATAGGATTACAAATAATGTCGTCTTAAGTGATAGTCATACTTCTGATGTGTACCCCCATACTACGAAAAACACACATTTAGTTCTTGTTTCTCATGAAAAACATGTAATAAAGCAATTTTGGTTGCCAAGGATATTTTCCAACTAGCGTACACCTACTTAATTACCTGACTATGTGCGTCTTTAAATGAGAGAACAAATTATTTGTTTTCCCCTAAAATAATCCCTTTGACATTTTATCTTGACTTTTTATAAAGAAAATAAACAAAGTGCATATCTAATTATCCCTTGTAGAAAAAATCTTCTCATTATTTTTTACGAGGGAGCATTAAGTATGTAAAAGAAATCGATGACACGGTCGGTTGTCTGAACCTGATTCTGGGTGGCGTCAATTACATACAGCTATTTAACTTCTGCTGAATGACTATGTGCTGCAAGTGTTATGGAATCCGGTTTCACCATTCGGCGCAAGAACGAATAAGTTTTAGGATTTAATTAATGTAATAAATTAATATCGGATGTCTAAAGGTGCAGGAACTTTGCGATAATAGACCGGGTTATTTCCTGACTTTTTCCTCTGATACCTATATACCTGTTAGATGTTTTCAGACTAACAGTTGTCATTAATTACATGTTAATACAAAATTCCTGTCTCAGATTAGCGATAAATCTAATACTTTTACGTGTTACAGATATAACACAAACGTAATACCTATTTTCTGACGTTCCTGTAAAGTATATATCTAACACGTGTTCTCGGCATTACCTTATTCCTTATAATTATAAAGACAATGGTGATTTTATCAACGTTTTGTTTCCAGCCAATATCGTGGTCTCTAACTTCACAATAAATGTAGATATTCTCAGTGATATTGTGTAAGACACATTTAAAATGTCTTAGTTTCATATTTCAAGACAAGATATGGTAATGAACGTATAGAAACATCCGTCCGTCCGCCAGTCTGTCCGTAACAAAGTTTCGAAGATGTGTAAGGATGCAGGCTGGACGAATCCTTAAACATATTAGCTGGTCTAGACAGATTTGATTTTAATATACATTTTGTAGAGTGATTACACATGGTTATGACGAACTGTAATTAGGAAATAAGATAACTTAATACGGTTCAAACTAAAAATGTTCCACTTTGCGGTGTTGTAGTGAAAGATAAAAGAGAAGTTTGGCGTGAACAGATTGTTGTGAGAGAGAACATGTGTACTGTTAAGTGCCTGGATTGTCTCATAAACAAAATAAACTGGTCTGACTTTTACGTTACATCATATGTTATCAAATGAATGGATACCACCCCCTCAAAATGGCGGCGGACGACCTTATATGTTGTATATACATGTATGTAGAAATCTTTATTTTCGAAATTAAATGTCTGTATATTTTCGTCAGGAACTGACGAGATAGTCGCATAGTATGGTACCATACATTGATACAATTTTATACACAACGTTACTAAGAGTGTCATCTTTGGTTTTAACTGATAAAGCCTGTAGTCAATTTATAGCACGGAATTTCAAAATCTTGAATCTATGGTTAATGATAGAAAGTATTGCGAGTAAGTACGGTATGATATCACCAAGCTGATATCAAAATCGGATTTCTTTTGAGTGAGCATTTCTGCTATAAGGTTCTGATGCCCGACGTGAATGTCTGTATGTATGTAGTTGGAAAGTTGTTGCGAGGATGTAAAACTTGAAACAAAAAACACGAACACTGCTTAGACAGCAAGAATACCGTATAATATTTTTTGCGCTACCACAATATGCCGTTTTTGCATCCTAACCAATTTAACATTATGGATATATTCGTGGTGTATATCTTGTTACCTGCCGTTAAGTTACCCCTCTCGTCGTTCCTGGTAATTCACAATGTTCAACGAATACACCAATGTGTTGGGGGAGAATATGGATCCCGCCACGTACAGAACAATGCAAGACATATTATGTGCACAAATACACCTCACCAGATGATAATGAAGATGATGAGGGGAGATGAGGATGACTAGACTAGCGTCTGCATCTAATCAGGTCTGGACACGACGGTGTACAGTGCAAATACCGAGTATTACGTGGAGCACGAACAGAGTACACCGTATAACGCAGAACGATAACGGCCACTAGTTCATGGTGTCAAATTGCTACTCACACAATGTAGGAAGATAACGACCTCCAGGAACATATATCAGGTTCGTCCCCAATGCTTTGAGGTTGTAGAGGGTAGGAGAGATAACCAACTGTTGTTGTAACGCGATCCCCTCCCCACCCCCGCCGTGACGGTATCGTGAGATACAAACATTTTTTCGAAGATTTTCGGTCATTTGAATAATTTACATCCATAAAAAACAAATGAATCCATCACGGTAACTAGACGGATGCGATATTAAAATAGTTCATTTCCGCCCTGGCCTTGACCTTGTCAGGAAAACCACATCTTTAGGGTAGAAGGAAAGACTACCTACCAATGATATTGCGTCTACGACTGAAAATAAACATTCTATGCTACATTTACCAACAGACGATTTCATAATGTGACAAACATGTTCGGCTTTACAAAACGACATAGCCATGAACTTCTCAAACTTTAAAACGAAAAGGGATATCTTTTATCGACCCTGTATGAAATGGAGTATAAATCAAAAATATGTTATCACAATATGGAATATTTATGACACTATACAAATTTAAAACATTTGCAGACCATTGCTTTCCTTTGAAGTCGAGATTCTAAAATTTTTGACATCATGTATTAATCTTCGTGTCCCGACTGTGATGTCATATCCTACAATAAACAAATAACATTGTTAACATTCCTCAAACACAAAACATACTGCAGTTTCATTCGGAGTTGTCGTTGTTTATAAGAATTAGGAAGAAGAAATACAAATATGTGAAAATTCGTCCTTGAACCTTTTGCCTTATCTGTTCCTTGACAGTCTTAACGCACAAGGAAATAATGCAAGTGTGCAGAAAAAGTGGGTCACTTTCCAACAATGCTAAATTGTTCCTTATCCACAATCCGTCAGAGCATCATTAATCCGTTATCCGTGCGTTCTATTGAGATTGACGTGTCTATATAAACTAACGAGGACGTAAGGCGGAGATGACGTTATCTTCTGTCTCTATCTGGTGTTCAGTCATCATTCCGTGTCGTATGCTGCCAAAGTCACTATGTCTCTATCAGAAGAGGCCACGTGGACCCTGTCAGGTCGGGGACACCATTAAACTCTGAGAAGTTCTAAGTAAATCTGTTTACAAAGTCCTTAGCCTTTCTGTAGACGGATTAATATTATTAAGCAGCGTAGTCAGTAAGGGATTGCATGTCCATTATTCAAGGAATCGGAAACACAACCAAGAAATTACAGGTGTTTCAGAAGGCTAAGCGTCTTCTGCTTCATAGCATACTTACCATTCTGTCTTGGCAAATCGTAGTAAGCAACATCATGTTGCCAAATATAAACTAATTTAACAACCAACAGGAATACTAACAAGGATCGAACTCACATTCAGGATATATCGAGCTTTGGTACTTTTAATTGACCGTCATATGGCCGATTTGACTGCTTAGAATTTATTTCTTTATTCCAAACAAGTATTGATACATTCCATGAATGACTATTAATATGATGTTGTCAAAAAATATAGTAAAATGGATTACAGTGGAGGGAGAGATGCTTTCTATTGTGGTACAGAGTAGTTTGCTTAACTCGTTGTATATCTAACTAAAGTTAAACAAAAAATACAACTCTTTGACACTGAATTTAATTAGCTCTGACGTTCTGTTTAGTTGATATAAATCAGCACGTTTTTATCTTTATGATGAAAATTAAACAAGATTCGCGTAAACATTATCTATGGGTCACCTTCCGGTCAAATCCAACATGGCGGAGTTTGAACACTGCAGATAGTATTTATCACTTGGTGCGGACATAAACACATAATTAGTTTTTCCGTGTGTGTGTGTGTGTTGTCCTACAGTAATGAGAAAGTATCGACGAACAGCCTCAACGAGACGTTATGATAGAGCGCACATGCTGCACGTGTAACATCTGGTTCAGCATGTGTAATCCTATACTGATGATTGAAATATAACAAGATACTCCGAATCCTAGGTTACTGTCAATACCGTTGTATCTCCGAGACATTTATGAAACTTGAAGAAGGATGGTTCACACGATAGTCTTCATTTACGATAAAAGGTTGACTGTGTTACCCTACCGTACATAAGTTCAATAACAACCACTTTGCCCTATAATATAGATGTGTTGACTCATACTTCTTGTTTCAAGTGAAATAACACTCACTCGCATCATTCTACCAAGAGGCTAAAGATGGTAGAGCCAAATTCATTCTGCCTCTAGCCTCGAATTTCCATCATTTGCAAATGTAAACG